CCCGGCCCCGCGGAACTCCAGTTCCAGCTCCAGCTCGCCGGCTCCAAAGTGCTCTTGGTGCCGTACTTCTGGCAGCCGGGCCGCAGGTGTTCTGAGCGCACCCGGAGCCTGATCCTAGTGGCCCGAGGGTTCCCACAGGAGCCACCCGGGTAGAAACAACCCGGGGGGGGGGAGGCAAAAAGCTGGATTTTCGCAGGCGCAAATGTAGCGCGCCCCAGACAAGCGCCCTCTGGGAACGCACGGCGCCTGCGTATTTCTCATGACGGAAGCAAAGCTTCTGGCCAATCAGAACAGGTCTTCAAACCGGAAGTTAACCGGTTGCTAGGATACCAGCGTACACTCAAGTTTAGCCTCGCGCTTAGCTAAGCCTTCTGTGGTCCGTGGACCACCCTGGTAGCCAAGAGAACTGGAGGTGCAGCCTCGGAAGAGACGAATTAAGGAATTACATACCGCCAGACCTTTAGCGGAAGTGCAGGCCAAGAATTGCAGGGTGGAACTTCGCGCCCGGGTGAGCCGAGGGAGCCGGAAGCCGTTGCATTAAGAAACTTCCCTTACTCCGTGCCCTTGCTACTCTGATTTCTAAGTCAGTAGTTCATCTTTCACCCCACAAATATTTGTGAACTTCAGGGGTAAGATGCAACGGGTAACATCTCAATACAGCCACCCCGGAATTGCACTTTGCCCAGTTTACACATAGGAAGATTCAAACCTATAGAATAAAGAGCAACTTGCCCAAGGATAGCTAGTTAGTGGGCGACGTGGAAAGTGTAACAGTAGCTCAAGAAACAAATCTGGGTATAATGGTGCACTGTGAACCACACGTGTCCTTAATCCCGCAGATAACTTCAATATTCTAAGGAAGTGAAGGAGGGCATCCAATTTTGAGTGCTGAGTAAAGCTTGTGCCAGCTAAGCCTGTGTCCTTTATCTGACATCAGCTTTGTTTCAGTTGCCTGCTCAGCAAGCTGACCACAGACAAAATGTGATATAAATTTTTTCTTTATAATCTGAATGTTCTTTTTCCATTTCCACTGTGCCTCCCTCCCAGTTAGACTCCCAGACTGCGATCTTTAGTGTCATCGTTGGTTGCAACCCTGATCTCCAGCTTCCTACCCTTGATCATTAGCTCCCCAGCTTACTGAGAACCGTCTCATCAGTCTGTTTCCACCTTTCTTTTCCCATTATCTTCCCTCTTAACCTCCCCAGTCCTTGTTTAGACTATCACAAAAGTTTTGTACTTCAGTTCCAGGGTCTAGCTCTTGAAAATTTCAGTGGGGCCTGGTGAAGACCAAAGTGGTGATTACAAGTCCTGAACAATTAGAGTTAGGCATTCAAGAAAGATGTTGTACTTTGAGGGGTTTTTTTTAGCTGAAACTATATATGTAAATTGATTATTTATTTATTTACTTTTGCAAGGAGGAGGATCAAACCACAGCTTCACCTGTTCTAGGTAACCATTCTATGTAAATTAATTATCAACTACAGGATTTATACTAAGGTGGAAGTGAAAATGATATAAACAAAGGGATAGAGAAACATGTTCAAAGGAAGAATTCTACCTGTAAGAGTAATAGAATGTTACACAGAAAAGAAAACATTTCATCTGGTCTTTGAAAAGTAAGTAGAATTTGCCATAGGGAAAGAGGCATCTCCAATGAAAAGAAACCATTAGTGCAAAGAAACTGTTAGTACAAAGAAATCTGAGGGCATGGACTGTGTGTAAGACAGCTCTACTAAATGCTTGGGAAACCATGCACACCAGTGATTTCCTAGTTTCATAGTATATACACTAGTAGAAGTGACTGGTATTTAGCAAATTATTGTACATGTTGTATACATTAATAAGTGTTCCAGGTATAATGAAGAAGCCTATATCGGTTTGATTTAAATGAACCTTTATTTCCAGTACTGTACTAAGAAATGAATGCAGGGCCCCTCAGTGCTAGACAAGTGCTCTACAACAGAGCTATATCTCCAGTACTTTTTATTGTGAGATGGGTTCTTGCTATGTTACCCAGGCTCAATTTGTAAGCTTCCTTCCTCAGCCTCATAGGTATGTGCTACCATGCCTGCCTCAGAGAAACTACTTCAGTTTTGGGTGTTTGGGAAGATATCTTTAAGAATTCTTTGATGTGACTGAAATAAAATGTACATAAGAGAACACAAGATGATACAGGAGTGATGAGTTAGGTCCACACTTTAAAGATCTTTGAATGCCACACAAAAGGTTTGAACATGAGCAACTCGCTTTTATTTGGTATATAGAAGTTTAATACCACCAAAACTATTTCTAGGAATATCAAGCTTCATAACAATAATTGTTATTATATAAAACTGAGCTCTTCTTCTTAAACCTGTCCTCGCATCTGTGCTCCTCCAGGCTGCTACAGCCATCCTCTGGTCACCTCGTGAAGAATCTGAGATCCTCTTTGATGCTTCTTTTTGTCTCCTCAGTTTATCGCCAAGTTCAATCCATGTTACTGCTATATATTTATATATGTTTAATTGTTTCTCTCTGTGAAAAACCTAAACTGTACCAAAAAAATGTAGTGTAAAGATCTAATTGAGTTTTATCAGGGATTCTAGGATTGAGCAACATCTCATCCTGTGAGATAGACTGCGTGTTTAGATAAGCTGACCAAAGTCAGTGGCTTTATATTCAGAAAAGAGCTGTAAACCAAGAAATGGGATCAAGGTCAGATTGGACCTTTAAAAGCTACTTTTCTTAGAGGATCGAAAGAGAGACTTCCTTGGCACCCTGATCAGGTACATAGGGCTCCTTCTACTGGCTGATGCTTCCTGACTTCTTGTTGCCATCTGGGTCTGAAATATTGAGTTGGAGATCATGTCTGATTTGTACATATTCCATTTAGATTATTATGCCTGGCATGTGAGTATCATTCAAGTTATAAATATATAAATGACTGTGTAGAGGATTAAAAATGTCCACTGGTCTGGCAGCCAGAGTTGATATAGGAGCTAGCTGTTACTGTAAATAAGTGAAGATTAAAGCTAGATTACTGTGGATCAGTAGTAAATAAGGGAGTTGAACTACCCACTTTAGTCAAGAGGTCAGATTATATATGGCAACCACCAATTGTAATTGTGGAGTCACACAACTTAATTCTGAATTTTCTTTCCCTGTCCATTAACTATAAGACAAGGATGACAAGGCATCTAAGCCTTTATCTTCCTGTATGAAAACAGGACTAATACCACCTGCCTCACGAGCTGCTTGAAGATTCAAGGAGTTCGAGAGATCATGATCTCAGATCATGTTAGCAGTGTTTGCAGGAAAAGTCACTTTGTAACATAACTGATCAGGCTCACTTTTTTTTTTTTTTTTTTTTTTTTTTTTGGTACGGGAGGTGGGCATCGAACTCAAGTCCTTGTGCTTGAGATGTAGGCAGCAGAACCACTGAGCTAAATCCCCAGCCCCTGCTCACATATATTTCTATGTACTCTCCTCCTACCCCACACTACACTGTTCGTGCATTCAGGCCCCAGGGATGACTGGAACTTGATGTATATGTAGGAGTCTTGGACATTTTGAGTACATCAAACATGATTGAAGAAAAATAGGGAAGATACCTGATAATTACATCCAAATGAAAGTTTAGGGTTTTTTTTAAAATATGACAGTTGTAACTACAAAAACACCATTCCTCAAGCCACTGTTTTTTCCAGAGGGGACAAGCAGAGCCAGGCCAGTTATCAAGGCTATCCTTATGAACCTCCATCTGTTGTCCCATTCATCTAGGCCTATGGAGCATCGAGAGTAGTATAATCAGAGTGTGGCCATTAAGTCCTTCTTCATGCCCAACCAAGTCCATGAGGATGCAGTATGAGTACACAGCACTTCCTTGTGGAAAGCACTGGGCACCCTTGTATATCCCACACTCTGTTGCATGTTGGAGTTTGGAATCCTCTCCTTTCCTTTCCATGCCACAGCTTACTAGAAGGAGCCAGAAAAGGCCAAACTTTGCTCACAGTCCCTGAAATGAGGTAAAAATAGAGGAGGATCCCTGCCTGAGCAGAATGCACAGCTGTAAACTCTGGTCACTCAGAGCAGAAATGGCAGCAGTCAAGGAAATCTACCGTGTCATAACTGTTTAAATGAGATGAAGAGAGTGTGATCATTTAGTTTGTTTCAATTTCCTTTCTTTAAAAAATATTTTTTCTCAAATTTATCCAATGTGAAGAGAAAGATAGCTCTATACCTGAATCATTGCCAGCATAGAAACACAGGACCACATTACATTTCTTATTTTAGGCAAGTAAAGAACAGGTCTGAAGTCACTGACAACAGCCTCTTCTACTGCTATTCCCTGTAGCGAAGAGAAGAAAGGAAAAAGATTCCAGTTTCTGCCTGACATTTCATTTAGAAAACCTCTTTTCCACTCTTAAATGGAGACATGTGTGTAATAATCTTCTTTAGAGAATATTATCCAACAATATACTAATATGCTCAGCTAGTAACAGTTTCATGGGTAGACTTGTAAGTTTAGAAATTAGATCATCAACTTCTTAACAGAAGCTGCAGGTCTAAACACATTAGCTATTTTATTAGTCAGCTTTTCATTACTGCGACAAAATATTCAACATGCACCACTTTAAAAAAAGAAGAGGTTTATTTTAGCCCACAGTTTCAAGAGTTTTGGTCCATATGGTCAGCTGGCAGAAGGACATGGTAGAGAAAGGGTTAGGGTTAGGCTACCTCATGGCATCCAGGAATCAGAGTGAGCAAGAAAGCCAGAAGGAAGGAGCCTGAACCAGATACCTCCCACAGGTCACGCCTCTGACACCTACCCAAACACCCAGAAGTGTACTTTACTAGTCTCCTTGGAGTCTCTGAAGCCAGTGAAGTTGATGGCCATAATTA